GAAACTTACCACCTTACACAGTGTATAGGGATTCAAGTGTACAGTGGTTTAACTCATAACAAAATTTCACAAGGTCAGGCATTGTTTTACTTCTTTGGAGAGAGTTCTCATGGTCCAGTTGAGTTTAGAAGACATTATTGTCAATTTGATATTAAAATATTTCCATATAAATATATATATTCATAAAAATAATTTCTAGTCTCTCAGTATAGGTACAAGTAGGATTATTCTAACCAGTTCCTTTTGGCAGGAGTATATTTAAATCATTTCAGGCATGAAGAAGTCTGTTTTTTCTCTTAAGCATCTACTTCATTTTCAATCAGGTTTTCTAATATTCAGAATGTTTGCATTCCATAAATTATTAAGTCCCATCTCAGTCCTTAATTGTTTTTTTTTTAGGTCTCTGTAGTGTGGTGTTGTCATGCCACCAAAGCAATCCTTATTTCATATCTTCATGAGACACCAGGTGACAATGAAAATAATTTTTTTACTTTGATGAAAAAGCATTTGAATTGAATATTAACTGCCACTGTTCAAACACACATCTTTTCAGTTAACTGTTAATGGCAGATGGCATGTAATTACCAATACATCATTTATTAAATTACCACTCACTTTAATGAACATAATATTGAGTAAATACAGGAGTATTTTAATAAAACAGAAAATTCTTGCTTAAAAGCATATCACAGAGTAACATATTGAAAACAGCATTTAGTTTAATTAGCTCTGTTTCCTGTAGAAAAGATAAACTCATTATTTTCTTTCAAATAATGGGTCCTTATAGCAGGTTCAGATGAATTGTATCCTGAGCCACGTCTCTGAGTAGTAAATGCTATGACATGGTATTAAACAAGGTCAGTGGGCCAACTTTCCACTGGAAGGTAAATACAAATGAGGTGTTTTTTTTTTTTTAATTTTTCATCTCCGTATTTTTATTTCTGTATACTTTCACGTTTTTGCTTAACTGTTACTTACGTGGATTCTTCAAATTTTTTCACTTTTAGTTCTTTTGAATAACTTCTCATTTAATACAACACATTTTTAACCTAAAAATGATCCAAATCTACAAATCTAGATCATTTAGAGTACCTCAGGACAACTGGAGTCACTTCGACATGTCGTGGAAGGAAAGAGATCAATACATTTTCTTTAGATTCAATAGAGATGGAATAACGATCTTAAATCTTACCAACCCGAGTTTTGTAATTAAAAAAGAATTACTAGGCAATTAAATTATCTACTTATAATCACAACTATAGTGTCACCAAACACAGATTAACTCAGTTCTGTGAAATATGCACTCTTAAGTAGTACCAGGTACTTTTTTTGAGAAGGTGAAGAAATGACCACGTGTTCAATGTCAAGATTTTATGTCCCTTTGTTTGTAATAGTCTTCGGCTCTTTCAGTAACACATTTTTGAAATAAGTTATATTTTATTTTATGGATACTAAAAGTTAAGATGGGCGAAGAGCTGGCTTTTTCAATATTGAAATAATCCTTAAATGACGGTTTAAGAGATTGATAGCTCTTTAATGAGCCTGTACAATTTTAAAGTATTAAACATTAGAGGAGAATAAACACAGTTAAAATGTCAATTAAATATCACCTAATAGGTTCAAATATATTTGCTTTTATCTAAAACCTGAGTCAGTATTGATCAGTTGTGATCTCCCTGCAGTAACTAGAACGTGCATAAACTCCCCAAAACTATGTAGAAAGTGGGGGCTTGGCTCTGCTTTCCTGTCCCTATTCCCCTGGCATTAGACCTAATATTTGTCACTGAACTGTTAATGTATTATATGGTGATTTTTACATATGAAATAAAGTACCAGAAATACAGAGTTGGCCTGACAAAGAAAATTAAAATTGTCAAGAGTAATATTATTAGGAAACCAGTGTGATAAAAACATTGACTGTCCTGAGTTCTGTGAAAGGATTGTGTATCCCACAGACAATAATGTTCATCCCATATTCAATTTACTTGCTCTCTTGATTGCTTATTGGTGAATCAGACAAAAATGACAGCAACCCTCCTCCCCAAAGAGAACTAAAAAGAATATTAGTGTTATGCTAATGAATCAGCACTTGCTCCTTTTTCCTAGATTTATATTTGATAAATCCCTGAATAATTCCCTGAAAGTAGGTATTCATTATATACCTGAACAACTTCATAAAGTGTCAGTACTATCATTTAAATGTGGCGTCCCACATCAATTAGTGGAGGATATTTTTAACATCAAACCTTATTTTCATTACTGAAACTACAAATATTTTATCTTCATTCACAAACAGAAAGAAAGTTGTTTTCATGTGTGGTTGTGCCGAGTAAGGATGTATTTAATCAAACTTGGATTGAGGAACACGCTGGATGTGTGTATACATGTGTGCCCAGAATCCTGAGAGGAGAATAGAGGAGAGGCGATTGTGGTGTGGCCACCCCCAACCCCCGCTCCCCGAGGGTGCTTTCTCACTTTCGGTCCCTATCCAGTGAACGCATGTGCCCTAGAGCAAACTACATTTTTTTAAGTGGTAGAATTATATTTTTTATAACATGAGCTATCATTTTCTATTTCAATTATGTTTATTAATTTGAAGATAAACCTCTCTCATGTATTAAATGAAAGATAAGTGGTGTTGAGTTTCCTCTCCTTAATCTCTCACAGAATTAAAAAATATACTGGCATGAAGAATTTATTCTAACTCTCAGGAAACATTTAAGAAAAAAATTTTTAAAAAACTTATTTTAATCTGGAATTCCCATATTAAAGTCTCCTGATTGCCTAGCTGCTTTCTTTCTTTCTTCTTCTTCTTCTTCTTTTTTTTTTTTAATCACAACCATTGACTTTTTAAAAGATAAAAGCATAAGCTTCTGAGGATGGGTAAATCCCTAAAGCATATTTTCGGGTGAAAAGTAATTTTTACATTTACTTAGGAAATGTAGTTTTTATGGTACTTGAATATGTAGCTATATCTACTAATGAAACAATTGTCTCCAAAAATGTCCTTGTATTAAGAGTATAGGGTCTGCCCATGGCCTGGGGATTGAAGAGGCTGGGTTCCACATAACCAGCTACTTGGTTCAAGTCCTTGATAAACACACCAGGTGTGTGTGCCTGTGTGCTGCCCCAAATCCCAAAAGGACGAGAAATAGAGGAAGGATTGTGGCATGACTGTGCCCTGTGGCGAGTGCTTCCTCACTCCCCCCCACTCCACACACACACACACCTTGTCTCTTTCTGGTGAGCACATGTTCTCTATGATAAATTTTTTAAAATTATAAGAAGCATATAACTTTTGTCTTCCTGTTTGGCAATATTTAAACAGAGTTCCAAAACGCTAAGTGTTATCTCGGTCATTCTGCCTGTGCAAGCCTTTTTTGTAGGCTTGATAAAGGGCGCCGAGTGTTTCCAGAGAGTTTTCTTCTATCACTTTCAGTGAGAAAATGTTAGCTACCAGTGGTTGCTTTCATTAGGATAGTACAAGCATATCTGAAAAATTTTAGGCAGAACTGTTGGCCTTTAAAATGTTAATATGTAAAATATTTGCATCTTAATTAACAGTAAAGCCATCAGTATAAGATATGCCATCAAACAAAACTTCTAGGTTTTTACAATTTTGTTTTAATATTTAGAAATAAAGTATTTTAGGAAAATAAAAGTTTCATAACTACTGATAATGTTTTTGCTCCTGATGAATGTATTTATAATCCAAGTATAAATTTTCTTTCTGTTTTTGAATCTTTTATGTTAGATAAGCTTGAAATATGAAGTAGTCATAGAGCACATCTCATAAGTAAGGTTGGAGGTCATTCAGTATAGATTACCTTTCAGTAGGGTCTGGAAATGAGACGATAAAAAGTTGAACTGATTTAAAAGAAAGTTCTGTCCTGTAAAAACGTTTGCATAGTTTTTACATGTAGTGACCTAATCTTTGACCCTTATAAAGGCCAGTGCCTTTCATGAAAAGACTGGAGGTAAAGGTCTTTAGAATTAATTTGTTTTTATTAAATGTTGAAGTTATATTATTTACGGTATGTTTTTAGAGTTTGCTGAAGAGTAAGTTTTCCTTTCTTGAAGAAAATATCCAGTTCCAATGACTGGCTTCTGATTGGTTTAAGAATCACCATTACTGTGTACAATCTAGACAAGAAGACCACAGACAGCTGTGTTGTACCTTTGGTGTCTTCATGTGGTCTGTCAGAAATAGAGGATCTACACAACAACTTCATGGCACTAAGAATACATGTCACAGTACTTGAGAATCTTACAAACACTGCATAAAAACTGCTGATTCTATTCACTTAGGAATACTAATGCTACATTTGAGATTAAAATTATTCGAATTTTTAAAATATCAGTTAAACAGTGCAACAAATGCTTCAAACTAAGGTAACCGATAGTATAAAACAGGAGCCAAAATGGCTCAGCCTCCATTTTCCAGCTACCAAAAAAATGACTTCTTAAATTGATATTCAAAATGATTCTTTACATATGCAGCTTTATCTGTATGCTGAAAGAAAAGCTTGAGAGACAAACCTTTGAGTTCGGCAGAGCCCCTCACCATGAAAATAATTTGCTGAGAATCAAAAAAATGGCTAAGTAACATTAACTTGATTGTGCAAGGATTTAATGCTATGTAAGGTACGTTCAGAATTTCCACTAAAGATTATATAGATCTATGTGTGCAGTTGAAAATGAACACACTTGTAACAAAGGCAAAACTATACATACGTGACGTGTGCTACTTTATACAATAACAACAAAACTATTTAATTTTAGGTAAGTATGGGTTCTTTAAAAACAACTTCTTTGCTCATGCAAAGAATTACAACATATTAAAACACTTTTTGTGCTAATAGGCATAAGACAAGAACGATAAAATGCCTTATGTAACTAAGGACTATTTGTATTCAAGTACAATGTATTAAGATGTTTAAAGTTTAAAAACAGACCAAAAAAAGTAAATAAAAAAAATTGCACATCAAGTTTGTCTGTCACCATGGATTTAGTTTAAATGAGGAAATCAAACCTTCCACCTTTTTTTCCCCCTGATCCAATAAGCACGTGTCCCAAGGTCCTTATTAGAGTGATCTTATTTTGGAGGCATTATGGCGTGGAAGGTGGTTTGGGAGACGAGCAGGATCCTTGACTATCAAAACTGGTCGCCCGGCCAGGTAACTGAAAGACAGTAATTTGATAAGATATGATCCGGCATAGAAAGTAATATGGGGGGGGGGTAACTCCTGCTCCACTTTAATATGAACACACTACATGAAAGTCTCCACAGAGAAGATAGACACAGGATCCTTGACTATCAAAACTGGTCGCCCGGCCAGGTAACTGAAAGACAGTAATTTGATAAGATATGATCCGGCATAGAAAGTAATATGGGGGGGGGTAACTCCTGCTCCACTTTAATATGAACACACTACATGAAAGTCTCCACAGAGAAGATAGACATTACTCCCCTTACCCACCAGAACTTACCTTCTCGGGACACAAATGCCTCGCATCTAGAGATGTATGCAGAGCGTGGTGTATGGGTGGTGCACAGAGCAGTCCTGCACACACAGCTGTTTATGGCTGCAGAAGAGTGTTACAATTTATGACAGCTTCTGAGCTCTTTTTGTAAAATATGAATGCTTTTCTGTAGTGGGGGGCAATTGTTACCTAAGAGCTTCAGATATAAGAGACTGTATTCCACTCACTGTAAGGCAGGATGTGACTTTTATGGGGCAGGGAATGCGATGTGAAGGATTGCGTTTGGCAGGTGGGAGTCCCAAGTTACCAGTGATTTATAATGATCCTTAACTACCTATGTGGTATATTTAAGATATTTATTTGCAACAGAATAAACTTTTAACTGCATAGGTAGAAGTAACTAGATTTTTTTTTTTTGGAGAGGTTTTTGCTATAGGGCGTGTGCACTCGCCAGAGAGAAAGCGAGAAATCACCCCCTAGAGGGGATGGCCATGCTACAATCCCTTCTCCTCCAGTCCTCTTGGGATCTTGGGCACGCATGCACATGCTCCCGGTGTGAGTTTAAGCCACCTGTCCGGGACTTGAACGGCGGTCGACTACGTGAGAGTCCAGCGACATAGCGATTATGCCAACTGCTGGTCCCAAAGTAACTAGATTTCTAAACGAAAATCTCTGTCTCACCTAATTATCCAGCTCTTGAATAACTGTTCCTTTCTCATATTTATCCCTTTTCTAGCAAGAACATATGTAATTACACACTTATTTTTCCCATAATACAAAGGCCCGCCAGTTCTTAGGTCTCCAGACCATATGTTCTCTTTGACTAATAAGGAGCGAGGCTTAGAAAAAATGAACTATTTGCTGGAGAAGTACATTCACATAATCTTTTAAAGTTATTATGTTCTATAATTTCCTAAATACATTTACTTGTGCATCCTTGTGGGTTACAGTATGGGTTTTCAAAGCATGCAAGCAGTGTATAATACTCAAATCAAGGGTATTACCACATTATTGTCTACAAAGAACATTACATTATACTTTGCTCTTTTGATTTTTGTTCTGCTAGGATTTTTTTCGATGTTCCAAATATATATGTATATATATAGAGAGAGTCACCAAAAATGTCATTTTTCTATGCAAAAATGCATCATGACCTTTCCAATGACCGAATATATCTAAAAATAGATAGATAGATAGGTAGATAGGATTGACAATACCCTTTTTACCTGATCTTGCACTCCCACTTTTCTTTTCTTTTCTTTCTTTTTTTTGGAGAATTTTTTGCTTTAGGGCGCGTGCGCTCGCCAGACAGAGAGAGAGAGACAGACTGAAAGCGAGAAATCACCCCCCAGTGAGGATGGCCACACCGCAATCCCTTCTCTTCCATTTCTCCTCTCGGGATCTCAGGCATGCATGCACACGCGCCTGGTATGAGTTTTAAGCCACCGGGTTTGGGACACGAACCGCGGTCGACTACGTGGGAGTTCAGTGACATAGCCACTACGCTAACTGCTGGTCCCGCACTCCCACTTTTCTCTGGCACTCAATTAACAGGAAACTATCTGGATCTTTTCCTGATGCCCATACTGTGACTTATCTCTCTGTATATTCTGTTATTACTGAGAGTGTTCACGTGTTCTCAGACATAAGCACATGCCCACTTCTTAGCTCCCCACTTATGTGATAAATGTGTATCTGCTTATTAAACAGAGTTATAAAATAACTATATTCCTCAGGTCACACAGCACCTTTCTTCTCATTAGATTAAATTTCTTGCTCAAGTTCTCTCTTTTCTCCTTGCATCATCCCTATGTAGGGGCACATGGTTTTATTTTCATTAGATATGGAGAAGCGCAGTTGAAGGCTGAGTAAGAAGCCGCCCAGGATCGAACAGTCTGAAGAACACAGATTAGAACGTGTGCTCCATTTAGGATGGTTTCTGCCCACGAACCTTCCCTCTCCTTTTTGGATTCTTAGGATTAATGTTTACTTTTCAAATGGAAAAAAAAAAATAGAAATGAGAACCAGGACTAGATAGCTGTATACATTAGACAATACCCACTGTTGAGACATAACTTTCTAAGACTTGTTGAGCGATTCAGAGAATACACCTGCCTGTAGGTCTGAAACACTCTAGTGAAATGGGGAATGTGTGTGTGCATGTGTGTTGTGATTTAAATTCTGAATTCAGTAAAGACCTGAGACAGTCACATATGAACAAATGTCTATGATGACTATACCACTGCTGTCTAGCATGCAGTACTCGTACAGTGTTCATCCAGTGTTCCCTACAATATCTTGAGTAACACAGCCAACATCACGTTTTTATGACTAAGCTGAGACTAGAACCCGGTTCCACTGATGTTTAGTCAGTTGCAGCCTCTCTCCTTTAATCTGGTGGCTAGTGCCAGAAAAAGAAACAGAACCTTTCCTTCAGGGAGGTGGCACCTGTGTCATTTATGTCCCGTGTGGTTATTATAGTGACTCTTTTTATTAAAGTGCATCACACCCATCATTAACAACACATCCTTCTATGGACTTGTGTTACCTTCCAATTAACTAAGTTCTACAAATTACTTATTTTATGATTCTTCAAGAACCCCAGCAAATTTGTAGAAAGCCACTCAGTTTAGCAGTATTTGGTATTACTGAGTAGGTGGACATGTAACTTCACGTAAAAATCTTGAAAACCAGTATTGATACTTCCTCTGGTTAACATAGCTATTAATAATAGTTGTAATAACTATTGTGCCATACCCTGTACTGTGCCCTTTAGTACTCAAGAAGTGATTGGGTTTTACTCTGAGTTTACTGTTAGTCCAGTCTCGGCAGAAGCTCAGAGAGTCCCAGTGCTTTTCCCAGGATTCTGCAGTGACAAGTCCTCAGCAGAGCCAGCTCTGGCCTCTGTGAGCAGTGCTACTTCCTGACGTTACGGTCTGAGGAAGATACACCTGTCCCCTTACACAGAAGCTTCACATTGGTGACGGCACCTTTATGTAGGGATTCTGGGGAGCTTCAGGTAAAGTGACTGTTTTCACAAAAGAGAAGCACTCAAATTTGGTTTCCTGTTAGTAAGAAATGAACTGTTAGGTTGTCGGGAAAGTCAGGACGTATTTTTCAAAGTTTTCCTGTGCAACAACGTGTCATGACTTTTCTGACAACCTAACAGATTGCTCCTTCATGCATGTAAATTTTCAGACTATGTGAAGAAAATAATAGACTTGAGGGTTTATTGTCCAATGAAACAGGAGGCCCAGGAAATCTAGTGGCTTTTGAAATCCAACAAGGCACACAGAACTTCGAATGCCATGTGCGATAGTGTGGGACAAAAGCAGGAGCAATGTTTTAAAAAGTGAACGCGTAAAATGTCAGATTAAGCTTAGCAGATAAATAATAACTAAAAGAAAGAATGTGTCAGAAAATTGGGGGCTTACCTCCAGCAAAGGGTGCCAGTGTGTAATCGGCTTCCGGTGATAGGCCAGCATTTCGTTCCAGTGGTCTCGCCCAAGACCCTCAGCGTCCAGCCCTGTTCTGCACACTCCTATGACCTCATTGTGTCCTACCCTGTGATGGTGGAATATCAGACTTTCATTTTCGACCCCCCAAGACAAATGGAGTGTCACAATGCTTAATAGAATTGTAAGCAGACGACTAAAATAATAGATTCTGTGATTTTGCAAATCATCTTACTTCAGACCAAATGAAAAGTCTCAGGTAAATAAAATTTTACTAAAATAATACCACTATCCACAAATGAATATGTGTAGGAAGCACACAGAAACCATTTCAGTGCTCTATAACTTGAGCAGAGCTCACAAGAACAAAAATAGTGCCAATGAGAAATGCCAGCAGGTCCTGAGATCATGTTTCTGGGAAGCAGTCCTAGCAAACTCGAGTCAAGTAGATCAAATCTTGTTCTTTCCACCAGGCTTAACGGTGTAGAATGGTGTTTAATTTCTCAACAAGAGCACAGTACTCACTTTCTTGTGTGAAAGACCATATTTAATTGACTGAATGACATGTCAGCGTGTGTTACCGCTTGCACTACAATTAAGCAGGGCAGAGACATGTTCAGTTCCACGGCGTTGGCTCCGTTACTGCGTAACAGAGAGCATACTGGACGATGTTCTTATTTCCTATTCATGTCCTGCTTTCTCGGCAATGAATTAAAAATAATAAGATAATGATAAGATAATATTTTCAAGAGCTTGTTATGTACCAGACATTGTTCTAAGTAATTTAAATGTACTGGCCCACTTAATCCTCACACCATGACCATGAATATCATTATTTTCAGCTCATTTTACAAATAAATAGATAAATAAATGCTCAGAAGACAGAAAGCAGTCTGACTTTATACATGTAATAAGAGGCAGAGGCAGGAGTTCAGTCAGGGCAGTGGACTCAAGAACACACGGGTATGCTGCTTCTCAAGAATGGAATGTCCTATAAAGGAATTTATACAGAGTTATTTTGGCAGACAGTTCTGAAGAGAATTCTGAGGAGATTTTAGAATGTTTAAATTTTTTTTGTGTGTCACTGATGTAGATCTATATATTCAGTATCATTTTCCTCAGTATGCGGTTTCCCAAATAAGCATATTTTTAGAAATAAAATCTTTTTTTTTTTTTTGGTCTCATCTTTTATGTTGGAGAAAAAGTGTCAACAATTCATAGAAAATATGTATTGTGAAAAAACGATGTATGCAGCTCACATTTACTTTTTTTGCACCCTAAACCCCTTGTATATTAACTCCTTTTTTCATGAGCTTTTGAAGTCCCGTGTATGTCCCTCAAATTGCCCAGATGACAGATTCTTGGTTGTGTCTCTTTGTGCTCTCTGCAGTGAGTAACCAGCAGGAGTAACTGGTAAAGCAGAATAGGGCTGCCAATGGGTGCATTTTCCTTCCTCCCTTCTTCCTTTTCTTCCTTTCTCCCTCTCATTCCTTTTTTCCCTCCACTCCCTGAGTCTCTCCCTCCCTTTTACCCACCCACCCTCCCTCCCTTCCTTCCTTCCTTCCTTCCTTCCTTCCTTCCTTCCTTTTTTGCTTCCTTCCTTCCTTCCTTCCTTTTTTGCTTCCTCTTCCTTCCTTCCTTCCTTCCTTTTTTGCTTCCTACCTTTTTTCTTTTCTGCTAGCTCTGAGCCAGAGGTTATAAAGTCCTGGTCACTACCATTTTCATGATACTATAAAATGGATACTCTGTGTGTGTTTCTGTATGTGTGTCTTGTACCACTTGGGTCATCATTGATAATTTTGTATGTTAAAGATACAGAATTCCTTTCTAAAAAGTTTATAAGTATAAAAAGCAAAGTAACAAAAAATGCATATATAGTGTAGGCCAAATAAGAAATATGAACTTGGGGAAGGGTGAGAAGAAAGAAAGCAAGGAGAAAAAGAAAGAAGCAGAACATTTAAGGGACACAGAAATGAAAGTTGTCTGCCCATGATGACGTGTGTGATGATGTCTTTGGATAGGTGTACGGTATGTTCATGCTGGGAAAATCTAGTTTGCAAGCTGCAGTGATGTGCAGTGATTGAATGTATAAAGTTAAAAGAAAAAAGAATGTAAAAAAAAATTAGAAATAGAAAAGAAATAAATATGAACCTTTCTTTAGTGGGACAAGAGCTCAGAGTAGAAAGTCTGATCAGCTGAGGACTGAGACAGACATGTTGACAGAGCTGAGCTGTGCAGCCAAGGTGGGCAAGGCACACAGTAGGGGGTGCCTCTGACAAAGGGAAATGGGGAGGCTGATGCAGGAGCTGCAGCAGGAAGAACCACCTGAGCTGCCCCAGGAGTCCGGAGTCCAGGCGAATCAGTGATTTATTTTACGCAGGAAGTGACTCAGTGTGTGAGCTGCAAGTGCCCTCACTGTGAAAGCAGCCCGGCTGTGCCTCCATGACCATGATTCACCTTCCACTGTTAATACCTACTGTTCATAGTTCCCTCTCATGCTAGAGCTTTACAGACAGGAAAGTGGATCCCAAGGAGATGAGGCAACTTGCCCTCTCACACACCTAGTTAGTGAACCAGTTCGAGCAAGCAACATGATATTCACATGCCAGCCCCATTCATAAAACAAGCTTTGTTGATTGTAATCTCTTATTACTGTAAAAAGACTTCACAAGAGTGCTGTTGGGTCATTAGAAAAGCTATGACATATTTCTCTATGCAAAAATGCATTGTGACTTTTCTGGCCACCCAATATAATGTATTCCATTTTACCTCTGACATCATTCTTTCCCCAGCCCCAAATGAGTTTTAATTGTGTGTGTGTGTGTGTGTGTGTGTGCATGTGTGCATATGTGGTGTGTATCCATTTTATTGACAGGGGTTTGCTGTTGCAATCCCCCAGCTACAGCGTCCCTAGTCCCTAGGACTTTAGGTACATGACACTGTGCCTGGCTTTTTAGGGGGGCCTGGAAATTGAACTTGAGCCTCCCATGTGGCCTCAACTTGCCAAGCAGCAGAGCAGAATTCGGCATGTGCTACATGCCTGGGGAAAATTTTAACTTAAAAAGTACTTTTGGGAAAAAAAAAAAAAAAAACTGCTAAAACTATCACATAAAAAAACAATGAATTTCAAGGAATCATTTTTCCCTCCTTCAGTTTAAGTTAAAATTGTTGTAGCAGCAAAATACCCTGAAAAGCTGAATTTAGCCTGCACACATATGGCTAGTCTGTGAGTGGAGAGATACACGTACCTATCATAATCCATGACCGCGATGGAGAGGCTGACCTGGTCCACATTCTCTGGAGGGATGTCAAAAATAATAGCCTCATTGTACACAGGGTTTAGAGTGTTTTTCTTTGTAGTTGTTTTCCTCTTTTTTAATCTTCGACCCTCACACATCAGAGACACTTTGACATAAGGATCTAGGAGTGGAAAAGTAATTTTATTATAACAAAAGTAATACTACTAAGCATAACTAACCTGTTGTTTATTTTCACTAAATATGAAAGTGCTGCATTAAAATGTTTATATTGCCAGGTTTGAATTCAAATGACTTATTTAAGGGTGATAGATTTTCTAAGACTTCTTAGTTTGAATGTAAGCAATTTATCTTGAATAAACTAGAAAAGAATGAACTTGATCTCACTGTTTTTAATACAGGAGAAAAACCCTTCTAGTTTTTCAAGGCCCAATCCAGAACTGTAATCACATCTTTTAACTATAGCTATTTAAGGACATATTTTGTTGGAAGTGGTTTATAGAATGTAATCCTAACGAACAACATTAATTATGTTAAGGTTAGTTTTCTTCAGAATAAGTTGTAATAAAATTAAAACTTGTACAAGATTTAGTAACAAGGTATCTAGAAAGTATGTAATTACAATGAATCAAATTAAAAAGCACATTGGAATTTTCTTTAATTGCCAGGAAAAGTACTAAAATTATAAGTACCATTTTAGTCATATGTTGGTGTTTGATAAGGAACTTAGACTGGAGAATTGATCACTACAAAAATTTCTTAAGTGCACAGAAGTATATGATAATAAAAGGAATATTTGATTTAAAGATGGCCACAGAAGTCTCTTGATTTGACATTGTTTATGTTATGCCTAAGAGAAAAATTTAGTTGGGTTATTTTTTTATGGGCCAAAGGGATCAAATAATTTCCATCCCAACTGATTTGATACTTACTATCTTATCCCTACCATCATAAGTAGGAAAAACTGTTCCTGTATTACAAAAAAATACAAATTATACAAGTTTCTAGGAAGCTCTACTTCTGTGCCTTATTATTCAAGGAAGCGCAGCTTTGGAAGTGAAGATTGACACTGGGATGAGCATGAGAGATAGTTAAAACAATCAGTGTCTGCTCTATCTTAAGTTTTCATTTTGGCTACATTCCAACTATGGCACCACCATCTCCTCTTATTTCTATAGAAATAGATTTTATTTCCTAAGAATGAGCCAAAATGATGGTGATATTGATTTATTTAAGTGGTTGAATGCTTTTGCAACTAGAAAAATATATCCATATATTTCAAAAACCACTTCCATCAAGGAACAAGAAGTATGTTGTGGATAGAAATACTAGTATATATTAATACCAGAAGATGGCATAGTGGTTATGTCATTGGACTTCCACATGGCCGACTGCAGTTCAAGTCCTGGACCCAGTAGCTTGAAATTCATGCTGGATGCATGTGCATGTGTGCTTAAAATCTTGAGAGGCGACTGGAGAAGAAAGGATTGTGGCTTGACCATCACCCTGGGGGCTGATTTCTTGCTTTCTATCTCTCTGGTGAGTGCACGTGCCCTATAGCAAGAATATCTCTAAAAAATAAAAAAAAAGTATATGTAGAGGAAAACAAGATAACAGGAAGAATGATCCATGAGAAGTTCACTTCTGTGATACACTTCTGGGTCTGAGCCTGCAGGCAGAGCCTCATTAGCAATGGGAACGAGGCCTGGTTTATCCTTTGCTACCCTCCTCACGTCCCTGACTACATTGCTCTGCTTGTGACAAGGATAATTTACTGGTTCCTGAGTTGATTCATAAGCCTGTTGTGAGGATTAATGAGGTGGTGTTCTCAAAGCACGCACTCCTCAGATGAAAAGCTTCATATAAATAAAAAGTAATCTTGTACTTAATTACAACTTTGATGCTGTTTGCTTGTCTTAAAATTTGATCTCTTTTGATACATGGTAAAAAGAGTAAAATAAACAGTAATTTGCAGAGTACACTGTTTATCTGAAATTGCTCAACATTTACTGACCCAGGACTTTTTCACCCAAATAAATGTGGAATTTACTTGCTGTTCTATATTTACATACTCACTATGTATTGCAAACTTATATTGATGAATAGGTAATTCATGACACAGTTCAAAAATCAAGATGATAGAGATGTGTGTTAAGTCTCTCTCCCATCTGTCCCTATCTTTCTCATCTCCTTTATTTTCTGTATCATTCTTTCTTTGTGCAAATATTGGCAAATGAATTTATGTCCTAAACTCTATGTTCTTACACAGAGGGGAACATAATATCCATATTTATTTTTCTACCTCTTTTTATTATTATTATTTTCTCAGAGGTCACATGAGTTCACCAGGAAGAGACCGATAGAGGGAAATGGTTATGCTACAATCTCTTCTCCACATTTCTCTCTCCCATAAGATTTTGGGCACATGTGTATCTCAAGCCATAGGAGCCAAGAGTCCCACCAGGCGATTGATCATGTGGGATTCAGCTTCCTTAATCACCACACCACAGGCTGACCCTGTACCTCTTCTTTTGTTCACTGGTATATTCTGAAGCTCTTTCCACATTAGAACATAAAGTCCTCTTGGGTTTTTTATAATGAAATTTAACTTTTTAAAAAATTTTTTTGGTTCTAAAGAACTACAGAGTTACAGATCTCCCCCTCCCCAATGTCATTCTTTACTATATCCCCTCTCTTACTTCTTATTGCTGTTTAGTTCAGCATATACTTGCTAACTTCCCTGTGTCCCCTTATTGCTTTTCTTCCATAGACTGATTCTGATGTTCACATATCAAATTATAAATAATCCCCCAAGACTGCAGTGATTTAAATGAAGGGAGAGAGGAGCATGATGTGATTTTACCACTATCAGCACATGAGAAGCTTTCTTTAAGAACTTAAGACATTTCAAGGTGTATTACTTTATTTCATTATTTCTTTCAGTCACATCAGTGCCCAAATTGTTAGTTAGAAGGGTGACAAGAATGGAAATGAAAATGGTGTTCTTGGAATATGGTTGTTTCTTTGCAGATCAGGTGAGGAAAATAAATTCAATCTAAATGTCTTTATATGGTCCTCACTCACAGTTTAAAGTCCTAGGATCCTTTCTTATAAACAAATGGCAAACCGGAAGTGGACAGTAAATGATAAACTCTGGATGTCTGAGATGAACTACATCAGTAGAGAATGAAATAAAAACAAGAACTCAAGTTCAAAGTCAATCTATTTGATAATACCCTTTTAAAATGCCATAAATGATGGGCCAGCAAGTGGTATTGTGGTTAAGATACTGGACTCCCACAGCAAAGTAATAAAAGAAAGGAGTCCCTTTGGAGACGGCATACTATCAGAGAAGGATAAGTGTGCAGTTTCTTTGACTTGCATCTGCAAGGACAAGAATCTCATAAAAATGTGCAAGTGTATGGAGGACTAACCTTACTGAGAAGAGGGGATTCTCCCCGGGGTTAGCTTTATGATTGTTGGGTATCTATATTGTCATTTATAAACTGAGAGAAGGCACTAGAGATGAGAATAATTTATACAATAAAAATATATTGAATGTGAAAAAAAAAAAAGGTCGCATCTCAGACCTGGTGGCTTGAATATCATGCTCTGTGTGTGTATGTGTGTGTGTGTGTCCAGAAATCCCAAGAGGAGATTGGAGGAGAAGGGAATTCAGCATAGACATCCCCCTGGGGGTTGGTTTCTTACTTTCTCTCTCACTGTCTCTGTCTCTGCCTCTTTCTCTCTTTCTGGTGAATGCACACATTCTATGATAAAAAACTTTAAAAAATGTCATAATGGTAATGTAAGTTAAAGAGATAATTTGGAACATTTGAATTTATAATCACTCTTATAGTACCCTACTATGGACAGATAATTTAGTAACCATATATAATTTTATATACATGAGCTACTGTATCGGGGTATGTCCTCTTTGCCGGCTAGCCAATTGTGTACCTACCTGAAGAGCCAGTAATATCCATTGCCTTCAGATTTCTGCACTTGATGACTGTCAGTGTCATACGCCCGGCAGTTGGCAAATAACAAAGGGAAAACATGATTTCACCCAGGTCTATACTTTCCTAGAAAGGCAATCAGTAATGTTAGCGATTTCACACACCAAATTAGGAAAAATCACTTTAATAGAACACTGGAATGCTACTTTCGATTGTTTTATTGAGATCACAAGTAACAGTGCAAGGAAGCTGTTTTGAAGAGTGAGAGAAAAGAAGTGTATCCCGGCTGTTTATTTGACCTCTCCATTTGTGTTTATAACCAGAATCTCACAGTTAACATAGTCAAAATGAGATTGCTAATTCCACCTGTTCCTCCTCTGTCAGTTTTTCCACAGTCAACAAATGGTATCATAGTCCACCCAGAGGCTGGAGTCAAAAACTTACTGTCGCATTTATTCTTTGGCCTACATTTTTTTTTTCCTTACGTCTACATGTAATACATGGGCAAGTCTTGTCTACGTTACCTACAAAGTATATCCTCAGAGACTTTCTTTCAAGCTCTATTGCTACCATTGAAGCCACCATTCTCTCTTGCCAACGTGATGTTTTAACGTCTGAAACTGGTCTCTCTTTCCAGAAATTAATCCTCACACAGGAGACAAAATGATCATTTATGAAATGCGAATCAAATTATATCACTCTTCATATTATAATTCTCTACGGTCTCTCACATGTGCTGGAGTAAAATTCAAACTCCTTACCATGGTATGTAAGGGAAGTTACAAGAAGTCCTGATGGGCCTGAAAAATTCCTGGTGTCTACCTGTGGTTTTGATACAATTACTAAGAAAGACTTTCCCCTTCCACTCTTTTTTTTTTTTTAGGGTTTTGCTATAGTATGTGTGCACTTGTCAGGGGGGATGCCCATACTGTAATTCCTTCTCCATTCTGCTCCCAGGATTTTGGGCATAGATACACATGTGCCTAGCATGATTTTTGAGCTGCCAGCTCCAGGACTTGAACCACAGTTGGCTATGTGGAGTCTAGCACCACAATTAACATGCCACCTACTGCCCCTCTTCCAATCTTTAAGTGTATTTGTGGACATCCAAAAGTCTACATTATCTGGACCCTACCTTTCTCACTTCATCTGGTGCCTCTCCCTGTGGCCCTGATGCAGACCCAAAAGCATGTTTTCAGTAATTCAAACAAATGAAGTTTGTTCCTGCTCTGAGGCCTTTGTATTTTCTTTTCCCTGATGAGCACTTTGTCCTCTGAGAGCTTTATGTGGCTGCCATCTTTGCACTGTGCAGGACTGTGCAAGCAGCCTCTCGAGTGAGAACTTCCCCTGTCCTTCATTCTAACTTAGCACCTCTTTCCGAGCCTATATTCACCTCATTCCCAGACCCTACATATTTTGTTTTATCACTGTCTAAAATCATCTTTTAAATTTACTTTTTAAAAATTTCTCTGAATCCCACTAATATGCAGGGAAGCAGGATCTTGGCTGTCTTATTATTTACATCCCACTGAAGTTCCTGGTGCAGAGATGGTTTTCAGTATATACTTTTTTTAAAGGAATGGGTACATTATTTAATTCAGTATAAAAACTGTATTGTTCTGCTTCATTTATAAAATAGGACTGTCCACGGTGCCCTGCTGTAGATTTCTATGCTTATTTTGACTGCATAGACGGTGTACAGTGAATACGAAGGTAGACAATGGCACTTTATTGTAGGATGCCTCATAGTGGCTATGGTGATGGAGAAGCCGGGAAAGAAACAGGACACTTGATCTCATGCACAAAATCTTAGCTCCAACAGGAAATGCATCACATGAAAACAAACAAACAAAAAACCCACAGAAACAGAGTCATCTAAAATGGATAACCAAATAAAACATAGTCTACCTGTCTAGATATATTAAATGCTTATTGACTGAAGTAAAGAAAGTTCACAATATTTGGTTCAATCTCTGAAAATTTTTTCCATGAATTCAGTTGCAATATAGTTTTGACCATCGCTTATTAATAGCTATTGATAACTTAGAGAGGCTGAACTTCAGAATTGACCAGAGCATTAACTCAAATAAATGGAAAGCAAAGAGCACCCTTAAAGAGCATCTTCCAACAGCTCTGTATTACAAGGCAGCTTAATTTCTACTGCAATAAGAACTCTAAATAGTCAAGCTTCATGTAGTCAAGAGTTTTAAGGAAACTGGAAGGAACTGGATGGTAAAAATGGTATGCATCTATAATAACTGCACAAAAGTTTAATTCTTCATTAGACTGAAGTTTTCTTTCAGGAAATATGAATATGAAAGGACAAGCTGCTACAGACTGAAAAGGGCAGAGTACTTCTAAGATAAATGCTGATATTCTTAAACTTAAAATATAGAATTGATCTAAGACATCAGCCACCAACCTTTTTGGCACCAGGGACTGATTTCATGGAAGACAATTTTTTACATGGACCAAGCGGAGGCAGGGTGATTTGGGATGATTCAAGTGCATTACATTTTTTTAAGAATCATTTTATTTTATTGTATTCATTTTTATTATTTTATTTTTTAAAGTTGACCAGAGAGAAACAGAGAGAGAAGGAAAGTGAGAAAGCAAGTTTCCAGGTCTGGGACTCGAACTGCAGTCAGCCATGTGGGAGTCCAGCTGCCTTAACCATCCTGCCACCTACTGGCCCCAAGTGCATTACATTTTCGTGTAGTTTTTTCTATTATGATTACATTGTAACATATAATGAAATAATTATACAACTCACCATAATGCAGAATCCTGTAACTGGGGGCACCTAGGAGAATCTAATGTCACTGCTGACCTGACAGGAGGCAGATCTCAGTGGGTAATGGGAGCAATGGGGAGCGGCTGCAAATATAGATGTCACTTTGCTTCCTTACCTGCCTCTCACGTCATGCTGTGCAGCCTGGTTCCTGACTGGCCACAAACCAGTACCAGTCTGTGCTCTGGGGTTGGGGACCCCTGACATAATAGATACTCATAAGAAAATGAATTAATGAAGGTTAGTGGCTGTATGACCTTTAAAAAGGTCCTATAAGAGATATAACACTGAACTCTAGATTTTGGCTGTGGTGCTCTGAGCTACAGTGGACACTAATTTTCCACATTCACCACTAAATCCGTCTCCACACTGATATTTTAACTCAAATGAGAAGACTGAGTTTTAGTCACTGCTTCCTCTCAGTCTGCCCTGCACCATGGTTTTTCATAAAGCCGTACTTAGCCCCAGCAATCCCAGCTCTCTAGTGCTCAGCAAAAGGATTGGAAACAAGTTGAAAGTTTCTGAGCATACAGTGTAAACATGAGAAAATTATTCACCAAAGCTTTGTTTTATGTTAAAAGATAGCCTTTTAAGGGTGCTCTTTGCTTTGTGTTTATTTGGTTTTATAGTTTGATCAATTTCTCAGGTTAACTTCTTGGTTTATCAATATCTGTTAGATACAGATGGTCAAAATTATGTTGCAATTAAATGCATTAAAAAGAGTCTTTGAGAGATGGAATCCAACATGGTTCATATGGACTAATTTATTTGGTTGAACATTCACAGTGATAATTTTCTGAGTCCAAACTTAAAAAGGGGCTTACTAAAAAAGGCTAAGATTGGGTCTAGGTCAAGAGGAGATTTAATTTCTTTACAACATAGAGAAGAATAAATAAAGATTATATTCTGATGATTTGTTGTAGTCAACTTACAACATAGTCATAGTTATATTTTCTATATGCTATTTCTTTAAAATAAATATCATTAGATAAATAGAAAAAAATTGCACATTCTATTTGAGTACTAATTAAATTAATAGTAAAATTAAGTTGTAGCAATTGACTAAGAAATGGAGATGAGGCATATTAAAGCGCAATATAAGAGGGAGTAATCATTAATGGAAGTACAATCGTTATATTGGAGCGGAAAGAGTTAAAGAGGTGGAATTTCATAGGGAAGAAGAGGAATAATGTTGCACATGAGTACTGTGATAAATACTGTGAGATAGAAATGAGCAGTGTGTGTTGAGAAGTATGGATTTGGTGATGTGTTAGAGGAGGCATAGGCTGGTTGTAGTTTTTTGATGGTTTCTATGGGCCATAGGGATCCAAAGTTGTGGTGACATGAAAGAACAGGAACTTGGCAGAGTGGGAAGGGTATAGATTCCTCAGCTGGAAAAACTGGAATAAAAATCCTAAATCTTCCATATAGTAGTTTCCAAGCTCATGGCAAAAATACATGACCTCCTGAATTTTAGTTTAATGGCAGGTAAAATGGGAAAAATAGTATCTACTTTCAAGGTACATATCAAGTATGCAAAGTACCTGATTAAAATTGACACTCAAAAAATATTGGGTCACCACAAAAATCATGACATTATTTTTCTTTGTAGAAATGTGTTACAACTTTTCTGATGACCTAATAATCATGTTAACAAAAATAATATTTGAAAAATATCTCTTTGTCTTGAGTAGGATAGATGAGGATGAAAAAAGACAAAAAAGAGAGACTATTGAATAAAATACATGTGGGAACTTGTGGGCTGAGGAAAGGTTTAAATTTAGGGATATATTGGGAAGTAAGAATCATTAAGACTTAATGGGGGTAGGGGGAAACCTTTAGGGCTAGATGGTGGCCTCGTGGTTAAGGCAGCTGGATCCCAAATGACCGACAGTACTGGTTGAGTCCTGGATCCAGGTGTTCGAAAAACATACTGGCACATGTATATTAGTACCCAACATCCTGAAGTGAGGGAGAGATGGGATTGTGGTGTGGCCATTCTTCACTGGGGGCACTTTTTCTCTGTCCCTTTCTGTTTCTCTCTGGTGAGAGTATCCTCTGGCAAAATTAAAACAAAAACAAAAACAAAACCACAAGAACTTTAAACAATTATCTGGCTGCTATGGTGACAGTAGTCATCACATCCACTTAGCACCCTAAAAGCGGGCTGCCTTCCACATTTTCTTAGTGGTAAGAAAACGATTTCCTTCCACTGTTTAAAAGCAAGATGTGCTACTAGATCAGAGGAGTTTCTACGTAAGTTACTAGTCCTTCCACCTACTCACAAAGTGAACTACGGTCAAATGCAGACCCAGAGTGTGTCTACAGGATTAAA